CACACCTCAGTGTCTGTTCCAGATACGCACTGCCAGGCATAAAAGCACAGATAAACACACTTTGAGGAAGCAAAAAACAAAAGAATTCAAATTGGTTTCTCTTTTTTTTTTCTCTAAACATCCTGATGAGATATTTGAAATTCAGACCAATAAAACAAGGGATAAGAGTACAGCTTTGTAAAACTATTCTTCATTTTTAACATTTTTTTCATGATATCTAAAGTCAATGAGCTGTAAATAAAATGGATCAAAGATGACCAAAACATTTTTTTCATAAAAATAATAAGACTTTAAACTGTAAAGAAAAATACACATAACAAAAAATCTATTAGTATCCATTATGGATGTAATTAAAAGCTTTTTATTACATATATATATATATATATATATATATATATATATATATGAATATTTTATTTTGCACCTCATAAGTCCCAGCTTAAAGATGAAATATGGCTGAATGAAAAACAGAAAGAAAGAGCAGCTGAAGAAGAAATGTGGGCTAATGAGAAGAAAATGTTTTTTCCTCTTCCTCTGTCACGCTGTTACTGGGCTATCCTTGATTGACGCAGAGTTAACGGCCTGGCCAAACTGAGGCAGATCCAGCAGCCTATCTGAACAGCAGCACGTGCAGCAACCTCGGTCATGCAAATTGCACCAGGACAGCCCGTTGACTATGATTAATGAGCTCGGAGCTGCAGCCTTTGTTTCTGCATCTTGCCGCTTGGACAGAAATACAGTTTCAAAATATTATCAATCGCCCTAATAATGGCCTAAATTTGCTCACCTTTTTCATGCAATTGAATTGAACAAGTCATAGCTACAAATGGGTCAGGTTTATGTTAAAAAGCTAAACTATGTGCCTTTATATACAACTTTAATTAGATTTAGACAAAGGATGAGAACATTATAGTTTTAAATCTATGGTAAAGCACATATATTTTCCAAGATGAGATAAAACATGGATGTGAGCTTTAAATCTCATACCTTGCTAATGCTAGAGGCATTTCCTGCCTACAATTTCCACTTGTCTGATCTGTGTTTGTTAAATAGGGGACTTTTTAAATATAAAAAAAATAAATAAATCAAGGTAATACTGAGTTTATAATTGTTCATCATGCTTATATGTTAATATATATGATTTCTTTAAGGAGGATATGCATTTTAAGACATTTTACAGATATTTTATTACTATGGATACTGTGTGAAAGTTACCACATGTTTGCAAAGTTAAGGTTTCAGGACTGCAAGGTTTTATTGTTTCAACTGTTTAAGATCCTTTCAAGATCAGAGTGACAATGGTTTTCTCTTGTTTTATGAAGAATAGAGTGACACAGATGTGCCCCTTCCCTACCTATTGCTGCTTGAAATAAAGGCAGCAGACATTTTGCCTCTCCCAAAAAGTTAGAGAAATTCAACATCTATGGTTTTAATTAACATCGAAAATCGATATATCAAAAATGTATACTGGAATATATCAACCTGCATCTACAATCTCCTAAATTGTTACGCTGGTAGAAGTACTCTATTTCAAACTACAGTTCTCCTTTTTAACAGTATGATCACATAATATTCCATTCTATAAAACAAATGATACAATTATATATGAACTGACTGGTGCCACATCAGGTCAATATTGACATTGTTCAATACTTAAAACTGCCATATTGTTATTGTTTAGAAAATGATAAAGTTGTATCAGAACATCCTTAGTTATGGTACAGAAGTAAAAGCTATGATTAGTTTTGCATTGATTGCTATTAACGACAGCTAGCAAGCCACAAATGTCATGTCTGTAATTGATACTGCTAACTGTTTAAGATAGCCTGACTAATTATCAACCAATTAGCTATTGGCCTACTTGTTACTTTTATATAGAGCAGATTAACATAAAAAGCATTGAAAACTGGATTTATTCAAATCCCTTCTTAACTCTATGTTTCAAAATCCATCCATCCATTTTCTGTCACGTTTATCAAAGTAGGGTCACGAGGGGTATATTTCAAAATAAAACGAAAAATTTTCGTTTGATGAAAAATACTTTAGAAGACAAGCAGACAAATTAAAATGTGTTATTGCAAGTTAAATGATTTCTTTTAAATTTTGGAATAAATACCTCACAGTGAGAACCCCATACCGGCCCACATATGGTTCTTTCAACAGTGCCACTAAATCAAATTACACATCACTGTATATTATAACATTTCCCTGCAATATACTATTGAGCAATATAAGCAATATAAGAAAAAATATTGATATTTTTACCCAACACACATACACAGCCATGTCTCCCTCTGCTACAAGCAAAATGTAAATGTTTTTCTGCCATTAAGGTATCTAAGTGCCATTAGTGGCTCACTGCTTAACACTACAATGGTGTGCCGAGAGCCGTGAAGCAGAGATCACTGCAGCCTCGCCTGGATATCAGAGGGACACATCCTTTGTAAATTCATCTCCTACTGTGAGCAGGCTTCACAGCTGGTTAGCGACACTGGGTGTGCCGCTGCCCTGTTTACTCTCAGCCTCCGAGGCTCTCATCATTTCACAGCATCCCCTCAATCAATTCAGCCTCAAACACAGTCCAGAATGCTTCTTATACCAGTCAAAGGTACACACACCTATGCACAAACGCTCACAGTGTAGCACACAAGAAAAAGAGAAGACTGCAAAAAAATATTTGATCCCATTGGCTTTTGGAGCTATTACAGTGCACAGCCTTAAAACCCTCCTCTCTGATTTTTATCTTTTTATACCATTGCATTACACGGATTCTTTTATACCTTTTAAACACGCTGCTCCCCACCAAAGCCCTCTGATCCTCTGATACCTAGATGAATAAACTGCTTCTCCAGCCCCTGACCTCAGCCCTTTGTTGCAATCAGAGCAGACTTCCTCAGAGGCCCTGATCTTATCTGTCCACAGCAATCCCACTACACAGCTCCCCTTTTGTAGCAACCACGGAGCCCTGAGCCCTTTCAGACCATCAAATTGTGCTGGTGAACACATTGCTCAAGACCTCAAGCTCATCCCAGACATCATACTACACTGCCCAACAACAATACAGACTTTTCTGATGTGACAGAGGTCAGATGAAGGCTCTTTGCTCATTGTCCATCCACAAAGGAAGAAAGCAAACTAATATTTGACTTGCACACAATCCTGGTAAATATAGTTTAAACCTCTTCTTCTTTGTAAAAACAGACTGTTAAAAAAAAAGATGCTTTATGCGCAAATTTTAAAATCTCTATTAACATCTCAATACTTGATATGAAGAACTAATTGGAGTCGAATTCAGTGTTGCTGTGGGAAATCTTAAAGTTATATTGATCTTATGGGATGTATAGACCCATTGGTCTGAAAGAACATTTTCAGGGAGCAAATGGGAAGGAAATTTTAATTTAATCTAAAGATTTTGGTAAAAGTTGTTCTATAAAGGATGCCAGCCCAAGAAGCTTTAGTAAATAAAGGTCAGACTCCAAAAAGCAATATCGGAGTAATTCAGTGTTGGCCGTTTAAAATATTCTAATTCTAATCAATAATATAACTGTTATCCAATGATAGTAAAATGTTAAGCACTGTCACTCTTTCTTTAGCAAGTTTTCAGACAGCTGTAGTGTATAAGTTTTAAGAAGCAACTAGTTTAAAAAGAGTTTGGTAACTTGTCCTGTGTATTTATATTTCAGCAAGAGGAGCCTGATGTATATGAAAGGCAACATTTGACACATATTAATCAATAGGAATGCACTGCGGCTCTAATGATTAACATTAACCTTTATTCATCTTATTGGCAGGAACTGATGCCCTTAGACCTTCTATGTTCAAAAGCAATCACAAATTGTCCAGCTTTCAAGCAACAGTCTCACCCTGTTAGAGCCTTCCTGCGTTCAGACTGCAAATACAGGGCATGTCTGAAGCTGTTGCTGGCTGGGCCACTTACAGTCTGGGTAGGACATAATTGTAAAAGTTCTTCTGCCAAAAGCAAATAACACCACTAATGAAATTAGCTATTGAACTGTTGCTTTTTTGGGGTCCTTCTTGCAACTCCTTAGCCTGGGCAAAGGAAGAATTATGACAAGTGTTGTGGCCCAACTTTAATGACACAAAAAAATCCACAAATGCCACAGATGAACCATGGAGAATAATTTATGCAGGCAAAAGAAAAAAAAATCCAGGCAAACTCATTCAGGTTTCTTGGTTTATTTCTCCTCAGGCAAACAAACAAAAGGGACAAATATTTCCTCCATGCCTCTTCTGCCCTGGTAAAAAAAAAAAAAAACACACGCCCACACAGATGCATGCTGGTCCTACCATTGACAGCCGATTTATAAACTTAATTCACCAAAATGGATCATAACTAACCAGAAACAAAGAAACATAACTAATATTCAAAAAACATAATCTCAAAACAGATATCAAAGAATGAAGTAGAATAAATAAACTTAAGTAGATTATCCTCAAAAATAAAAAAACTTAGTTAATTATTAACAAAAAATATACAAATGCATTATACAAATATACAAATGTGCTCCTACAAAAAGACAATGAGAGAAGAAAGGCAATTTAAAGCTCTAAAAAGAGGTAAAACATAATCTTTAAAAAATATATTTATTATTTTATGTATCTATCACAAGCAATTCTTGATATAACATTATTTTTAACATTTGAGACAAAATGTTGTGGAATGATTTTCTTAATTATATGTTGTTGTTTTTTAAAATGATGTTATATAAATAAATAAAAAGTTCAGCTATATTTCAGTTGATGAATGTTCAGAGATATTTCTCACAATCTCGTCAAACATACTATTATACTGCTACTCTGATTTTTATTGTGTGTGTATCGGTGCCATTATTTCAAGAGTTGTACCACTTTAAGGCTGAAAGATATCAAGAGAGAAAAGCTGGAACCAATAAGGTTGCCCCACACGCTGCCGCACCAACCATCTAACCAATCAGGTACCGGTTTACTGCGGATCCTTACTGCTGAGCCAATCGAAAGGCTCTTCACCAAAAACACTGCTGCTTCAACTTCCTAGCGGGAAGCGGCTATCGGAGCTTGTCTTCTTACAGCAAGAATTAGGGGTAAAAAACAAATGTACATATTATTTGACGGTCTTAAATGTTCTATAATGGTATGATGTGTTAGTGAGACGTATAATATATGCATGTAAATAGGAGAAAACGTTTGAGCGAAGCGTTTAGCGTGGTGTGTTGTGTTAACATGAAGCTAAATCCTGTTAGCAGCTCAGTTGAGTCTGACAGCTGTCAGTTTTCTCCAAACACCTGCCTCCTGGCGCAATGAATACAACTTATCCGTTCGTTTTTGGGCTTTTAGATACAGTAGAGCTTAAAGATGAAGCTGTCCCGGCCGGAATATAAAGAGATAGCGAGGTGGACTGACCAGCTGAGACCTACACGGCAGTGCATGAAGATGCTGAGAGACAGATTCCCTCAGTAAGTTGCACACTTCGCTACACATATCCCATTTTTATGTCGTTCAACTGTATTCTCTTAGTTTTTTCAACCTACATTTACTAGGGAGTGATTAATAGAATAAAACACTTAAGCAAAACACAGTTTATGTGCAAAAATGTGTGGATATCCATAAAAGAAATGCCTGTTTGTTCCAGCAGCATTATCTTAAACTGTAAAATCCAGCCTTTGAGTATCTGAGCCTATAAATAAAAAGCATGGGAAATTGAATTTAGATGTGTTTTTCTAAGATAGAAGTTTTAATAAGTAACATGAGTTTTTGCCTTTTCCTCCTTTTGTAACATGACATTACAAAGGAGGATGAGGCTTGATCATTTTTTAGTTACATTAGCATACAGTGAGCATTATGTTGAGGGATATTTGAACTTTAAAGTGCCTTGAGGTGACATGTGTTTTGAATTGGCGCTGTATAAATAAACTGAATTGAATTTAATAAAGGAAAAGAAAAATCTTCAAAGTTCAGTGTAGGAGAAGACAGCCATGTGTTGCAACTAAGCAGCATTATATCTGGCACCACTTGTAGTTTAGCCCATTGAAGTCAGTGCTTGGATATGGAAATAATATCACACCCCATCTGACCACATTCCTATACTTGGTCTAGGGATCTAGTGGGATTTGCTAATTATAATAATATAATAATTCTTGCATTTTATGGGTTCAAACTTTAAAGCAGGGCTGCCCAAAGTCAGTCCATTAGGTAGTCAGTAAAATTTGAATACCTAAGAAGTATAAAGAAAGATTTTGAGCAGAATGTGTATTCTTTTTAAGTTTATCAATAGGAGCAAGGACATATGTTTCTTAAAGCAGTCACTTTAAAACTTAGTTTTCCTGTCTCCCGTTTTAAAACAAATGTGAAAGGATTTGAGACAGGGCCGTATGCAGGGCCTGAACAATACTGAGTTCAAGAGTTGGTCACTTCTAGGGAGGCTCAGCGGCTCACCCCAGAAAATGTTTTTGATTCCATTAATTAAATCTGGGCATTTTCAGAGTCTTAAGGAGCAAAAGCAACATTGTTAAGACTTTTGAAAAGGCTAGGCGGTGCATTTCTCTGTTTCTCTTTCCCTGCCAGACATTTCAGGCATTATAAACGTGTAAAATTTGTCATCTTTCTTTTGAACCTTCTATGTAAGAAGTTAGAAATGTGTTAAAAAAAGAAATTCCAGTATAATTGAAATAAGTTGCTTCATATTTACTTCATTATTTAAAATAGACACACAGACACAGTATATTGTGTTCTTGATAGTGCCTAATCTGTTCTCTTATTATGGAAAACCATATCTCTATTATAATCTTACACAATACTTCAAGTAACAAGCAATAAATATTTTACTTTTAAAACATATACAGTTGTGGTGCAGAATCTTCCTTTTCTAGTACCTGCTCTCCTTGCATCTCTTGACTGCTCCTCTTGCTGTTTCGCCCAAAGATTGCCATTTCCTCCCTATCCTGTTTATCCTTAAGTGAAGAATATCAACACAGTCGAATACTATATAAGTCGTTTCAACAGCATATTTCGAGGAGTTTTGTCATTTCAACACGTTAACATGAAATTAAATGAAATTAGTTTTGCAGGTTCCAGAGCAGCCCAATGTTATAGTATGAAATTCTAAAAATAGCTATAAATATGGTCATTTATAAATAAGTTAAAATATGCTAAAATATTTCCACATTAAAATGCCTGTTATTCTCACAGTCATCAACAACTTAAACTGTCTCCAGCTACATTATTAGCTCGATGTTTTCCTCTTCCAGTAACTGCAGTGACTGACGGACTCACTAACAGAGTTTGTAGCCTGTGTGTGGCAGTTACTATAGCGACAGTGCGTGTTGATGGTGCGCAAAGCGCATGCCTAAACTCTCGAGCTCCTTTCTTTTATTGGATAGATGCTACTCTTAGCTCTTCAACTATAAAACACCTCCCAGTTTTGTGGGTGACCAAGATCATTGTCCTACTCTCCCTTTCATTAAATAATATTTTTGGAGTTTATATATATCACAAAATATAAACTTAATAAAATATGCTGAGGACATTAAGTCAGTGTCCTCAATGGTAGTTACGGCCCTGATTTGAGAGTTAAAATTTGAAATGCCCATATAAGTTGGGTCTATGTAGTTAGGGCTCATATATTTGTATATTGGCAAACCCTGTGGTCACCAGTCTGTCTTTTTTTTTATTTTTTTATTATTACCTTAACAAATATTGGTCATTATCTATATGCTGACGGATTGGGACTTCAACTGGAACTTTATGATTTGGCAACATAACACTAACTAAGCTTTTCTTTGCCAAACACTCCTGATGGGTTTGCTGTAGGCAACAAACATAATGGTGAAGAACGTGGAAAAACACATTACACCTGCTTTTGAAGAAGATCGGTGATCAGATTGGTGATCAGTGATTCTGTTAATCTGTTTTTCTGTTTTGCTTCTCTTTATTTTTTAAAGCACCGAAATGTTTTTATACAAATTACTGGACTCTACTAGAAAACTGAGAATAGGTCATATTTTTGTCTGTCAACAGGATATTTATTACATATTGCTTTATAAACCTAAACATACAGTAAAATTAGCCAACTAAAATAAGTCCTATAATATGTTCAGTAAGCTGAAGAGGAAAAAATAATTTAAGAGAGATAAGGTAAAGAACCTGTCTGTTTGTTCCAAATTTATAAACATGTGGAGAAGAGGAAGCTATTTCCTAATATTGGAGTTGTACTGTTAATAGCAGTGGTAAAAAATATTTTTGCAAAGAATTCACTTCTTGTGCAAATTTATCTTCAACTGAGAAAATATATTTTGCTTAAGGGCCAGACTTTGTTTCTCTGCAAGATTTTGCTGCTGCATGTCTGTATTTCGAATAGACAGCCTTGAAATGTATAATTTAGACCTTTAAAACATCCATAATCTCAGTAAACGTTGTCTCTAGGATCGTTATTTAATTCCTCGCAGGTTTCTACTTCAGCTTCCACTCAAGCGTTAGGCGGCGTTTTGCCATGCAGCCCTTGTGCATCCAGAAATCGAAGAGAGAGGTTAATGGTTGTGTTTGCCTTTCTCCTTGACACTGAGGGCCCTCACTTTATTGAAAGTAACATGTGTAATCCCCCAAGGCCAGCAGGACACCATGGCCGATCCCGTCGAGGTCACTTACAAAGTCGCATGTATTTGGAGCTTCCTACTTCCATTGTGTCCTAATCACCAATCTAAAAGAAAGTATCAGCTCCCCAAAGGGGATTCAGAGCAGATTCACTCCACCTTTGTTCCCCTGCTCTCAGCATTTTACAGAATGTCATGTGTATGAAGTGCATACAGAATTCTGCTTGTTTAGGTGACTACAGTTGGAAACTGTTTTTATTGTTTTTCTTCTTTTTCATTTTGTTTCCTAAACCATGAAACCTTTTTTTTATGAAAAGTGTTACTGCTGCATATACTGATGAAAGGAAAATATAAGACTGTCTACAATAATTCTGCACAATCTTTTTCTCCCAGAGGTGCCTGCCCCTTTGTTTAGTCTTGCTGGTTATTGTTATCATTTCCTTCACCATAACCAATCCTGGGGAGGCCCTTGCTCTTTAAAATCCCTGAGTCTCGTCACTGGGCCTGACAGACAGGCACGGCAGCAGTGTTTTCACAGCCTGCAAAATTATTCTGGTTGTCCAATCAGCTGAGCCAGGCTCTGGAGGTTAGTGATTGGACTGGCAGGAAATCAGGCTCTTAAGACACAACATATCGACTAGGCCATCCATCATCTCTTAGCATGCGCTCAGGCACAGCAGTCAGCTGCCCCCCTCCCCCCTCCCGTCCCTTCGGACCGTGTGGGAGCCCTGCCACTGCGTAAAGATTGGCCAGGGAGGGGTTGGGGTGAGAGCTGGGGGTGTGTTGTGGACAAAACCTGCAATAAAATTATGGCTAAAATAATGGTTTAGTTTTAATGGGCAGAGAGGTTGTAGCCAACAGGTACTACGCCACAGTATTCGATGATTTGTATTTCAACAAAGAGGTAAATATAGTAAGGATTTGGATCCATTTTTAATTTGGTTCAGAAAATAACGAATGAGTTGTGAATAGTTTGTTTGGAAAGGATTGCGTTATTTTCTCTCTAGCATCCCTAAATGAAATGTGATGTAATGCTGCTGCTACTACAAGTTAAAGACTCTCAGAAAAATACTTTTATAAAGTGGGTTTTACTGGGGAGAAAAATAGGTAGGAATGTGAATTTTCCTCTTGTGATTTTAAGCGGCACTTAGTGTGTGTGTCTTTTTATTTTTTTAATCATAAATGGTTATACACTAGTATGATAACATCTATTAAAGTATGAAACTACATTAATTTTTAATGGAAAAACAATTGGACTGTTTCAATTTCTGCAAAAATAAATCATTTGCATTTGATTTTTTTGTTATAATGATTTCAAGGTACAGAAGACAAATCTTTATTTCCGGGGTGGATCATCTTAATAAGTGGTCCTACTAATTGTCAATCACTTTGGTGACATGTTTACAAAGGGCCATCCTAAGTGCTCGCCCCGTTAGCTATCTTTTTCTGTGAATGGACACTTTCAGGCGTATATCTGTGGTGAGCTACGGTTTCAGACAGTCATTGAAGCTCACCTTTATCACCGAGGTTCTTTTATAATGGCAGAGGGTCATAAGAGAAAAAGCGTTTATGAAGTGTATGACAAGAAAAGAAAGGCCTCAGAAGAGGCAGAAATACATCCCGGAATGCTTTGCGTGGAGAGTGTGGAGAGCTCCCCACGCAAAGCATTATGGGATTTGCTTTCACAGCGGCCCTGACAGCGGCGACTAATAACAAAGATGCCGCAGGCACCGCGTATTAGAGGAGGAGGTACGTGACCAACGAGGAGCAAAAAGCAGTGATCATCTGTCCGAACAGTTTACTATAAAGTCCACTATGTAGTCTCCGGTCTGTATAGTGGTTGAGTGATTTATGGGTTAGGGTGGATG